ATGGCACACAAGCACTCACGAAAAGGCGCTTCAAGACAAGAACTCCAACTTCAACGGGAAACTTATATATAAACTCCAAGTATGTCCGAATCAAGGTCAAATTCAAAGTCCATGTGGACTTTCCAATTTAAGACTTTTCAATGGCCGAACTCCAACACATATTAGGACAGCTAATTTCGTATATTTCCTTTTCCCTGTTTTTTTTCCTTGGAATCTTTATCCAACTTGGACTCTGACACTGAATAGAAAATATATATTCGGACGTCTGTAAAATATCCAATTTGAAATATTTAGATTTTTACTTCGGGCTCAAATTCGAGACATATTTTTAACAAAATCCAAGGCAACAATCATCGAGTACCTCCTCTCAATGTTGTTTTTAATCTCAAGGGTGTATTTACCAAAGGCACGTTCAATCTTCTTGTTGAAGTGCTCGTCATTGCAGTCATTGATAGAGTCGATGTCTTTCGCGTCACAGAATCTCCCGGACTACCCTCATCCCTAAAAAAAAAAAACTCAACATCCTCGTTACACGCGCCACCATTGCTCTTTTTCGGAAGGCCACATTGAGGTCCTGACAGCTGGGGTCGAGCTCTACTATAGGGCTCGGTGGCTTGCAAGCCTGTGGCACGGGCTCGAAGCTGTCTGCAGTGCTCACGAGCTCAAGGCCAACCTCACGTGACCTCGGCGATCGGGAGCCACAGGCTCGTGGCGAAGCTAGCGTCGCCTCACCGTCGCGAGTTGCGAAGGATCCCTCCTCCACAAACAAAGAAAAGGATGATGGCATCGGGGTTGGGCTATGGCGATGGCTCTAGATGGTTGTCATGCTGTGCCACTGTGCGTGAGGATAGAAAAATGGCGGGGTAAGAGAGTAGGAGAGGAGGGGTTTCGGTGAAGATTTTTTACATGCACGAGGACAACGGTCTCTTTTTTGATGGGAGGGATGCAAAATATAGGTTTTGAAATATAATAAAAGTGTCTGATATGGAGAGTAAAAGTCGATAATGATTTTCGCAATTACCCGTGAAAACAAGTAATCAAAGAAAATCCCGGCTAAAAGGCATGCTTGGCGATGATTTGATTCTTCTTTACAACTCAAAAGGACCTCCAAAGTCCCCACCCACCGAAGAGCCAAAATGCTTTAATTAATCATAATATACCGGACCAACGTACTAAAGATTAATATCACGAAAAATTCTAAACTGATATATCTGTAATAAATTTATTATAAATTAATTTTTTGATCACGAAAAACTTTAAACTAGTATATTTATGACAAATTTACTTTTCATTAAATTGAATTAATATTAAGAAAATCACAAACTGGTACACCTGTAACAAACGGATGGTAAAATCCCAAACCGGTATACCTATCAAACTATCACATATCATTCGACTAAAAAATCCTAAGTTAAAATTTAATGAAAATTAATGGGGGTTAAATTTATGTGTACTAGTCTGGAGCTTTAATTTGGGATAAATTTATCACAAATATATCATTTTAGGATTTTTCGCGATATTAAGCCTTTTGTCTTTCCTTAAGCAATAACACGCTAAAAAAATGAAAAGCGTCTGCCGTTCCCAAACTACCCCTTTCTTTATACACATATTCCGCCATCTGCCCCCATCTTCTTCCTCGCTCTTGTTGTTGTTGTCAGTGCTGCTGCAGCTGCTGCTGATAACCGAGCTCTTCGAAGTGCGAAGAAGATGTCAGAGGAAGTGAGAGAAGACGGACAGATGTATTACCATGTGGTGTGGAGAGAAGAGAAGGACTACGTGGACCGTCCACCAGCTCCTCTCCTGAACATGGCCGAGGTCAAGTACTGGTCCTTCTACAGAGCCCTCATTGCAGAGTTCATCGCCTTCCTCCTCCTCTACGTAACCGTCGCCACCGTCATCGGCCACAAGAAGCAGTCTGGGCCCTGTGATGGTGTCAGCCTCCTCGACATTGCCTGGGCCTTTGGCGGCATGATCTTCATCCTCGTTTACTGCACCACCGGCATATCTGGTACGTTCTACGGCTCTCCCACGTTCAGTCTCTCTAGTTTTTTCGTGCTCCAGTCCTCAAAGTTCGCTCCTTTGTTTGTGAATAGGTAGCTCAAGAACTCTTCAAAATCTGCATCTTTCGTTGATGGCCTGACGTGGGATAATCTCGACACTGTTTGTTTCATTTGTAGTGGTCTCATGTTCACAAGCTTCTTTCACTTTCATGCTCTAGTCCTTAAAGTGTCGTTCCTTCGAGTGATTGCTCTAGAACTCATGAAAGTTCGCATTTATCAAGGTCTTCAGGGGTTTGATGTGTTTTTTGTAATGTTTTTTTTTTGTTTCAATACAGGTGGCCACGTCAACCCGGCGGTGACATTCGGGCTATTTTGGGCAAAGAGGGTGAGCTTGAACAGGGCAGTGTCATACATGATCGCTCAGTGCTCGGGCGCGATCTGTGGTGTAGGGTTGGTGAAGGCATTCATGAAGCCCTACTACGACACGCTCGGAGGTGGTGCCAACTCAGTGGCTCTGGGGCTACAGCACGGGCACGGCTCTGGGAGCGGAGATTGTCGGCACTTTCGTGCTGGTTTACACTGTGTTCTCGGCCAGTGACTCCTCAAAGAGGGATGCTCGAAACATTCACGGGCCGGTACGTGCTACTTACTAGTTGCTGCAGCTACTAATAACCAGGCTCTTCCTTCCCCAGTGCAAACGGAGTAGCTGTTCGTTTGACAAATGAAGTAACTTTTCTAATGAGATGGATATGTGTTTGGGTGTGCAGATTTTGTCTCCTTTGCCAATTGGTTTTGCAGTGTTTCACCTGGCCACCATCCCCATCACCGGCACTGGTATTAACCTGGCTAGGAGCTTTGGTGCTGCTGTTATCTACAACAATAACAAAGTCTGGGATGACCAGGTATAGCCTCTCTCTCCCCATAAACTAAGCTTTATTACATGAATTAACACATTTGGAGACAGCTAAAAACTATGCTAATCATTTGCATTTATGGCAGCAAGAACTTTGGTTCTTCTGGCTTTGATGACCCTTTCATTAAAAAATGTTACGTGCGAGTTTGGATTTGATATTAGTGTGCTAAGATAATGATTTTAGGCTAGTAATAATTGATGTGTGTGGATGTGGAATTTCATGAGCAGTGGATCTTCTGGGTTGGACCATTTGTGGGGCACTAGCAGCAAGAGCATATCACCAGTACATCATCAGAGGATCTGCCATCAGGGCTCTCCAATTCTTCCTTAGAGCATCTGCCATCAAGGCTCTCCAATTCTTCTGCAGTAATCCCACCAACTAAAATTTTTCTTTTTAATTTTTTTTCCATTTGCTTGTTTGTGTGAATGAGAGAGAACACTATGATGATGGACCCCCTCTTTACTTATTGATGCTTCGTTATATGTGGGTGGGTAATATTTAGACCTTGTATCATTATTATTGCTGCTGTTATTATTGTTATTATTGTTCATGATTAGTGGTGGAAGTGTTCCCATCTTTTCTTTCGTATTCTATCCCCTAAGATTGCGCACATTCCTGTAAAAAAATCAACCCGACAAATAATCCAAAGAAATAACACACCACCCAACCCTGATCAAGACGAGTGTGTAGACTGTAGGGGGACTTAAATCCTTCAACCAAGACCCTAACGATGAGCAGAGAGACATTCAGTAGAAACTAGAATTGGACTAGGAACACGCGTGATCAATAGGAGGATGAACATTTCCACGTGTATCTAGGAAACACACCTGGTACTGATAAGTATACTGATGAGGTTTTTTTTTTTTTGGGTCTAAACTGATGAGGTTTTGAGTTGGCGTCTTGGTCTCGTCAGATTTTGAAACGTTATAGTGTCTCCACTGAGGGCTGAATTGCTATTTGATCTTTGCAAAGAAAGCCAGGGTGACAAGAGGTGAAAGGACAAGTGCTGTCCTACTTTGGGGGACTCAAAACCTCCACCCAGCCAATAGGACGTCAAAGTAGACAGACCAGAAAAGAAAAAGAGGGTGTGGGGATCCGATTCCCAAAGGGGGTGGAGGGCCAGAAGAGAGAGAGAGAGTGACTTCATTTCTGTACCTGTAAATCCTCTTTTTCTCTTTTTGCTTTTGCGTTCTTCGGGGTCAGTGGCACGAAGAGGTTGAAGAAAATGGTGAAAAGGGGTCTCTTTTCCCTTCTTTTAACAAAGTTTACCACCCATCAGTCATGACCGCCGCCGCCATGTAAGTAAAAGGGTCCCTTTCTTTGCAATCAGGGGGCCAATTCGTCCCAAGCCCAAAGACAAAATTGTGACCTCTCCAGAGAGAGAGAGAGTTCCCCGTGCCAGAAGGACTCTTTGGTCGGTAAAGTGCTCAAGTCTTTGATGCACGGTAAAGTGCTCAAGTCTTTGATGCAGTGAGGCTCAGGAGTAATCGGTTCCAGAATAGGTACAGCAAAGTGTTTGAGTCTCTGATATAGTGAGGCTTAGGGATGATTGGTTCCGGAATGAGTAAGTTCTAGGCCCCAATTTTTACCTACCCTGTTTGCCTAGATTCGATTATGGAGCCTACCCTATTTTCCTGGTCCGATTCAAGGGTCTATCCAAGCACCTGTTTGATTTACTGGTCAGTCGATTTACTGGGTGAATGCATTTCAGCTCAGTCGATTTACTGTCGTATGCTTGATTATGGTCTTCTTGCTCAACTAGTCCATTATAATTTGCCAAAGTACTAACTAGACCACACTCTCGAAAACCAGTGTGAGAACCTCTAGAATAATTCGGACGTGTAACTCTATTTCATACCCACCAAGGCATGTGGATTCATTCACCAAGGTTCCACGTAACTCTGCTTATGCTCTATTCGGACGTGTAACCTAAGGGATTTCCAAGTTCCATTCAGATGCAAAAGCACCCCGCCTGTCAAGTTGCTGCAAAAAGAAATATCCAGAATGAATCTCAGTCGCCACGAGCAACTTTTTTGTATCACGTGAACAGAACCTACGTGCCATTCACGGCAAGCTGCAGTCGAAGTAATCTAAAAGCGCATCTTTTACACCAGATAATTCTACAATTTATGACTCTGCAATAGCAGAGAAAAGCAGCAGAAGTTCTTTGCTTCGATTCAGTGCACTTACACCACTAGAAATAAGATCCAGGACAAAATCCAAGGCAACAAACCATCAAGTACCTCTCAGTCAGGCAAAGCAATTCCTCGCTCAAGGTTGTTTTTAATCTCAAGGGTGTATTTCCCAAAGGCACGTTCAATCTTCTTGTTGAAGTGCTCATTGCGGTCATTGGTAGAGTCAATGTCTTTCTCGTCATGGAATCTCCTCTCCCTACTAAAGGACTTGCGCTTTTCATCCCAGTCTTTGAGTTGCTGTACCATTTTGTCAATCTTATCCTCGGAAACCTTAGGTGCCGGCACAATAAGGTAACATGAGCTAGTTAAACTTCAAATGAGCATATAACCAGCGGCGGGGAAAAATTATCCTTGATTTACCTTGCCATATTGAAGACTTGGGATCAGCTTCTTTCATTTTGTTATATTCGTCTAAGTCAATATCTATATTCTTCGTGCGCTTCTTGAATGCAATATAAGGAATCTTCTGGTTGAAGACTGTTGGAGAAACTGCATTAGTCCTTTAAGAACAAATACATCATATCTAGCTAGGACACATGTCTCTCTATAATAAAAATGCTCCATCTTGCATTTTGTTTTTCAGTGACGATCCCCTGTATCAGGACAAATGACCAAGCCTAAACGCTCTAGGTAAAGTAAATATCTTTGATGACATTTCATGCAACTGCAGGTAAAATAAAGTTATGTGCTTCAACTAAAACTAATAGGGAAAAAGGAAATACAGCACATCACCCACTCTTATTAGCACTACATACATCAAATTTCACCAAGCAACCACCCCATGGCTCGAAACAACGAAAACAAAAAGAAGGAAGCTACTAGAGTACGTAGGACAGAAACTAGTATGTAACAAATGCACGCACGCAATAAGCAAAGAGAAGCACAAACATACCAGGTTCATCAGCAGATTGAATACGTACCAACCCAACCGTAAGGAGCAGGATCCTTTTCCCATTCATATATTTAGTCGCGGCCATCTCCTGTGTATCTAGTGTATATGCCTTTGACACATCAAGACCACTAGCATCAAGAAGTTTCCCAATCTTTTTCTTCCTATCGTCTAGCCACTTTTGCTTAGAGATACCCCTCAACTCAGTTGGAGCTTCCAACTTTTTATTTTCAGCCACCAATGTAGTTTGATTAGCCTTCCTCGCCTCATTCCACCGAACAAAAGAAAGACATAAGAGAGGCTATCGATTTCCTTAAAGTACAATACTGAAAAATCAAACAAACAAAACTTAAATCGTTTATGTTGGAAAAGAGATTGGCTTTAGTTCAAGTTAAATTACACACCATCTTAGGCCTTAACTCAAACAATTTCTTCTTCCTTCCTGTAAGTTTAGTGATGTGCCCCTCCACAGTTTCCTGCACCGGCGGTTTGTTATCATCGTCAGCAGGCTCTTCAGCATCATCTATCTCATCACGCGAAGCTCCAACCTCATGATAAGGTAGCTTACAATGGCTGCTCTCTGCACTAGCTTCTGATACTTCTGCAATCAAATAGACTCAATTTGATATCACTGAAGAAATCGAAATGACCCTCAAAGTTGCAAGGACTCAAAACCGGAATTACTAGAACATAAGTATATGATCATCGTGCGGTCCTTAGCGAAAAAGTACTCAAAACAGAATCAACTTGGATATGATTACATGCGACAGGGCTAGAACAATTCGTTATTCAAGGAACAGAAGACGCGGAAACTCTCTATTGCCCAATTGATCACAAGACATGACACTTACGAAATTCTCCATAAGACAAAAACCTACATACCTGCACAGCCCCATCAGCAAAGGTTGCACCATGATGGATTTTCATTTGTTAATCAAATACAAGCTCTAAAGAAGAGTGACTGACATTAAGCTACTGGTTATGGCAGAAAACTCAGAAGCACATACAGAGAACACCTACCCGAATCTCTCCTATCACGAGCTTTGGCCTCAGTGATGATTCTGAAGCAATATGCACTGCATTCATGGTATGGATTCGAAGCGTTCCTGCAGTCTGGGTGGGTCATTGCAGTTTGATTAGCCTTCCTCGCCTCATTCTACCGAACAAAAGAAAGACATAAGAGAGGCTATTCATTTCGTTGGAGTTCAATACTGACAAATAAAACAAACAAAACTTAAATCGTTTATGTTGGAAAAGAGATTGGCTTTTGTTTAAGTTAAATTACACACCATCTTAGACCTTAACTCAAACAATTTCCTCTTCCTTCCTGTAAGTTTAGTGATGTCCCCCTCCACATTTTCCTCAACCGGCGGTTTGTTATCATCTTCAGCATCTATCTCATCACGCGAAGCTGCAACCTCATGATAAGATAGCTTAGAATGGCTTCCCTCTGCGCTAGCTTCTGTTACTTCTGCAATCAAATAGGATATCACCGAAGAAATTGAAAAGACCCTCAAAGTTGCGGGGACTCAAAACCGGAATTAATAGAACGAAGGTATGATCATTGTGCGATCCCTAGCGAAAGAGTCAAAACTGAATCAACTTGGACATGATTACATGTGACAGGGCTAGAACAATTCGATATTCAAGGAACAGAAGACGCGGAAACTTTCTATTGCCCAACTGATCACAAGCCATGACACTTCTCAAATTCTCCAAAAGACAAAAACCTACATACCTGCACAGCCCATCAGCAAAGGACGCACCATGACAGAATTTCATTTGTTAATCACATACAAGCTCAAAAGAAGAGTGATTGACATTGAGCAACTGGATATGGCGGAAAACTCAGAAGCACATACAGAGAACACCAACCCGAACCTCTCTTATCATGAGCTTTGGCCTCAGCGATGATTCTGAAGCAATATGCACTGCATTCGTGGTACGGATTCGACACATTCCTGCAGTCCAGGTAGGCCACTGCAGTTTGATTAGCCTTCCTCGCCTCATTCTACAGAACAAAAGAAAGACATAAGAGAGGCTGTTGATTTCATTGGAGTTCAATACTGAAAAATAAAACAAACAAAACTTAAATCATTTATGTTCGAAAAGAGATTGGCTTTTGTTTAAGTTAAATTACACACCATCTTAGGGCTTAAATCAAACAATTTCTTCTTCCTTCCTGTAAGTTTAGCGATGTCCCCCTCCACATTTTCCTCAACTGGCGGTTTGTTATCATCGTTAGCAAGCTCTTCAGCATCATATATCTCATCACGCGAAGCTGCAACCTCATGATAAGGTAGCTTAGAGTGGCTGCCCTCTGCGTTAGCGTCCGCTACTTCTGCAACCGAATAGATTCAGTTTGATATCACTGAAGAAATCGAAATGACCCTCAAAATTGCAGGGACTCAAATCAGGAATCACTGGAATGAAAGTACGATCATCGTGCGGTCCCTAACGAAAAAGTATTCAAAACAGAATCAACTAGGACATGATTACATGCGACAGGGCTAGAACAATTTGTTATTCAAGGAACAGAAGACGCGGAAAACTTTCTATTGCCCAACCAACCACAAGATATGACACTTTCGAAATTGTCCAAAAGACAAAAACCTACATACCTGTACAGCCCCATTAGCAAAGGTTGCACCATGATGGATTTTCATTTTTTAATCAAATACAAGCTCAAAAGAAGAGTGACTGACACTGAGCTACTGGATATGGAGGAAAACTCAGAAGCACATACAGAGAACACCAACCCGAATCTCTCCTATCACGAGCTTTGGCCTCAGCGATGATTCTGAAGCAATATGCACTGCATTCGTGGTATGGATTCGACGTGTTTCTGCAGTCCGGGTGGGCCATTGTAGTTTGATTAGCCCTCCTTCCCTCATTCTAACAGACAAAAGAAAGACATAAGAGAGGCAGTTGATTTCGTTAGAGTACAATACTGAAAAATAAAACAAACAAAACTTAAATCATTTATGATGGAAAAGAGATTGGTTTTTGTTTAAGTTAAATTACACACCATCTTAGGCCTTAATTCCAACAATTTCTTCTTCCTTCCTGTAAGTTTAGTGATGTCCCCCTCCACATTTTCCTGTACCGGCGGTTTGTTATCATCGTCAGCAGGCTCTTCAGCATAATCTATCAAATTACGCGAAGCTGCAACCTCATGATAAGGTAGCTTAGAATGGCTGCCCTCTTTGCTAGCTTCTTCTACTTCTGCAATCAAATAGACTCAGTTTGATATCACTGAAGAAATCGAAATGACCCTCAAAGTTGCAGGTACTCAAAACTGGAATCGCAAGAATGAAAGTATGATCATCGCGTGGTCCCTAGAGAAAAATTATTCAAAACAGAAGCAACTTGGACATGATTACATGCGACAGGGCTAGAACAATTCGTTATTCAAGGAACAGGAGACACGGAAACTTTCTATTGCCCAACTGATCACAAAACACGACACCTCTGAAATTCTCCAAAAGACAAAACCCTATATACACCTGTACAACCCCATCAGCAAAGATTGCACCATGATGGATATTAACTTGAAACAAGCTCAAAAGAAGAGTGATTGACAGTGAGCTACTGGACATGGCAGAAAACTCAGAAGCGCATGCAGAGAACACCTACCTGAATCTCTCTGATCACGAGCTTTGGCCTCAGCGATGATTCTGAAGCAATATGCACTGCATTCATGGTACGGATTCGATGTGTTCCTGCAGTCCGGGTGGGCCATTGCAGTTTGATTAGCCTTCCTCGCCTCATTCTACCAAACAAAAGAAAGACATAAGAGAGGCATTTGATTTCGTTAGAGTACAATACTAATATATAAAACAAAGAAAACTTAAATAATTTATGTTGGAAAAGAGATTGGCTTTTGTTCCAGTAAAGTTACACACCATCTTAGGCCTTAACTCAAACAATTTCTTCTTCCTTCCCGTAAGTTGAGTGATGTCCCCCTCCACATTTCCCTCAACCGGCGGTTTTTTATCATCGTCAGCATCTATCTCATCATGCGAAGCTGCAGCCTCATGATAATGTAGTTTGGAATGGCTGCCCTTCGCGCTAGCTTCTGCAATCAAATCAAATAGACTCAGTTTGACATCACTGAAGGAATCGAAATTACCCTCATAGTTGCAGGGACTCAAAACCGGAATTATACTAGAACGAAAGTACGATCATCGTGCGGTCCCTAGCGAAAGAGTATTCAAAACAGAAGCAACTTGGGCATGATTACATGCGACAGGGCTAGAACGATTCGTTATTCAAGGAACAGAAGGCGCGGAAAACTTTCTATTGCCCAAAAAATCACAAAACACGACACTTAGGAAATTCTCCAAAAGACAAAACCCTATATACACCTGTCCAGCCCCATCAGCAAAGGTTGCACCATGATGGATTTTGACTCGACACAAGCTCAAAAGAAGAGTGATCGACGTTGAGCCACTGGATATGGCGGAAAACTCAGAAGCACATGCAGTGAACACCTACCCGAATCTCTCCTATCACGGGCTTTGGCCTCAGCGACGATGATTCTGAAGCAATACGCACTGCATGCATGGTACGGATTCGGCGCGTTCCTGCAATGCGGGTGGACCCTCCTCTCTTCAGACATACTCCCGGGCTCCTGCCGAGCTTCCTCAAAAGCAAGACTCGCAGGGCTACCGAAATCGCTCGTCGGCCCACGATCGCCGCCGTTCTGTCTCGCCGAGTGCGGCGGTTCTGACGTGGAAAGGGAGAGAAGAAGGAACGCAAGAAATAAAACATGAAAGTAACTATTTATAGGTAGGGCGTCAAAATGGGTCACAAATGAAAATTATTCGTATAAGAATTACCTTAATTTTAAGGTATGAGTTATAAATGGGTTTAAGAAAAAAAGCCCGAAGAAAATGGGTTTTATTTGGGTCTTTTAAAGTGCGTTTGGCAACCGGTCAAACAATAACTATTTCTATTTTTTTATTGTCAGAATCAGTTTTGGAACAGAAATCCGTTTGATAAATTTTTTTTTCCCAGGCACAAATTTGCAAAAATTTGTTTTCAGAATTAGTTTTGGAATAGAATCAAGAAGCAAAAAAAAATTGCTTCTTGATTCTGGGAACAAGAATCAAAAATGAAAAAGAATTTTTTTTTTCTTCTTCTTCTTCTTCTTGGCCGGCTGTCGGCCACCGGCGACCGGCCATAGGCCAGGGCCGGCGAGGGCGTTGCGGCCCTTGTCGGATCTGGCGTTGGTGACTCTCGCCGCCACCCTTGCCTAGGCTACCGAGGACGGCCCTCGCCCAGGCCGCTAGCCACCCTCAACGGATCTGGCGAGAGCGGCGGCGAGGGTCTAGCTCTCGCCAAATTTGGGGAGGGCTACACTCGCCCAAGCCGCGAGCCACCCTCGCCCAGACGGCAAGGGTCTAGCCTTGTCCGGAGCCAGCGAGGGCCACGATGCCCTCGCAGGCCCTGGCCTGTGGCCAGTCGCCGGTGACCTAGCCATGGCCTAAGAAGGGAAAGAAGAAGAAAAAAAAGAAAAAAGAAAGAAAGAAATATTAAAAAATTTAAAATATTATTAATAAAAAGAATTTTTGTGCAGTTATTAAACGCATTTATGTTCTTTTTCTAAATTTTGGGTAATTACCAAATATTTTCAAATGCTTAGAAATTATTCCGGGTACAGAATAAAAAAGAATTATTTTTGAACAAAAATTATTTTCAAGAATAGAATGGTTGCTAAATGCACCTTTACAAACCCATTTCCAATCCATTTATTCAACTCTGTGCTTCTTGTCCTCTCTCTCTCTTTTGCTTCATCTCCATCTTCCTCACCTTCTCTCTCTTCCAATGGACCTCCCCGATCTCCGTCCGCTCTTACCAGATTCTCGAAGTGAAGCGGAAGCCTTGGTTCGATTTCATCGCCTTTGGTCAACCCTGCGATTACTTCGTCGAGTCCTTCATCTATTATTAGAGTTTCGAATTGACAATGTACGACGGTTCTTGCTAGGAGATATTCAAGGGATGAAGCGCTTGGATGCTTGAGGCCTGTGATTTGCCTGCTTTTGATACCGTTAGAGGCTGCTGTCTTCAGGGCCACCGTCTTTGGGGCGCTGTTGTCAGGGCTGAGGTAGACGCCCTCGAATCCCAATTTTAGGAGAAAAATCGCTTTACTGACTAGCTTACTAATCATGGAATCGTCAAGTATTCGGATACTAATTTCTTTTAATTACCTCTTATAGATAGAGGTGGCAAATGGATAAATTGAGTGAGTTTGGGTGGGTTATAAAGGGTTCAACCCAAATCTGCCCATTTAACCTATATTGACTCATTTATTTATTAAGCAATTTAAATGATCAATATTCACCCAACTCAGATCTAACCTAAACCCACCTATATAACTATGAGAAAAACAAATAAAAAGGCCCAACAACGGTGCCCATTGTTATTATTCATATCCTAATTTTATTTATTTATAATTTTCATATTATATGAATACGTCTTATACTAGACATGGTCATTGAGCGGGCGCATGTCGGGTGGAAGGTCAGATTGATGTGTTGCACGGGCCAACCCGCCCATTTTCCTTTTGGTTCTCTTTGATTTGGGCAGGCTATCCGCTCCTCCGTCCATCATCTCTTAGTATTGTTTTTATACAATTCAAAGATATAATTTTCTTGTCTTTAAAATATTACCATCATCTATGAAAAATATTGAGATATAAATTGCTGTCGACAATGAAACATTTATTATTAACTAATTATTTCAAGCGATACAAGTATTTTTTTTTTCAAAATTATTCATTTTTAGTGAAACAAGCAAAGCAAGATTTCTTGTTCTTATCTTCTTCTTCCCAATTGCTATCCCTGGTTCCTTGATCCATGAGCCTTGGGCTCATGAGAGGGACAGTTCTTGGACTTACTAGGGTTAATGGGTTGGATATAGGCCGAGAAAATGGGTGGGATACAGGAAGTATCCTGTTTCAATATAAATCAAGAGTGTTTGAGAAAATCCATAATGGGGAGATTTTCCCATTATCAATCTGTTCCCCAAATTCTAGAAGCACCAATAAGATTCAGCTGCTGAATCTGTTTAGCACAAGATGCTTTGTGGACCAGTCATGCAAAGTAACACACTGAATTTGACCGATCCAATTTGCTTTTGCACTTTGATGCTCCATAACCATGAGCTAATTAAGTTATGTTATAATCCTGCATAGTATGCGAGGGCATCTCCATTTCGCAGATTGAGAACCACATAAAAGAAAAGGAAGGCCATCGGAATGAAATGAACCAAAGAGAGAGTGAGTGTAAGAGAAGAAAGATATATATATGAAAACACTTATTCACGCGGAAGTAACCGAATGAACAAAACAGTACAAAACCAGAAAAGAAACGTTGGTTTAAGTACAGTGATGTTGTATATTTTGCGGCATAAGTATGAAGAAAAAGAATCAGAAGACCGAAAGTTTAACCTATATCCCAAGTAGTTTTATGCTGCTCATAGTACATCACATTCCAGGGAGTCACAGAATCTTCAGGCTCATAGGAGTTCCTCCAACAATGACTTAAAATGGTAGCTGTCGACTTGGGAGCTCAAGGACAAAACGGACTTGTTCAACTCGGAGGACTCGACCTCGAGCTCGCGCAAACGGTTTCTGGTTTCAGCTAGTTTTGACTTTGCTTCAGCAAGCTCGGCTTCTTTCGTAGCCAGATCTTCTGTCTGGAACTCCAGTAAATTCTTCATAGACTCGAGGCCTTGATCACACTTGGTCTTCGCTGCCTTGACTGTCTGATGCTGAGTAATCACCTCAATGACCTCTGAGATTTCATCGAGTATCTTTCGCAACCACCCAACCTTAATATGTGAAGTCTCCAAGTCCTTGAGAATAGCCAGCATCTCTTTGACCTTGGACTTGGTCAGGTGCATGAATGAAGTGGATTGCAGCTCCTGAACGACGAAACAGACGGACTCCAAATAATAAGACCGCATCGAGATTGACTCCAACACACAATTTTCTGCTATATCTCCATACTTCTCGAGAATCGCTTGCAGAATGGAGGACATGCTGGACTTCACATGGTATTTACCAACTGGGACACGGGTTTCGGACATCACGGACTGGACATCTTCATCATCGCTGTCTTCAAAGGAGTGACCCACATCTGAGATGCTAGAGCTCATTGAACCACGATTGGAGTGCGGAGCGCCTTCTGCTGGGTCATCAATGACGGTACTTGGAACAATTTCGTGTCTGAGTGTACCATTAAAGTTTTCCTCCTCTATCTCTTTGGAGGGTGTAAATTTTGCAGCATATTCTAAGCTTTCCATTGGAGGGCCCTTGGCACGATCAGGCTGCTCAGGAAGCAGAAAGAAAAACAAATCCACAGTATCAGAAAGAATTGCCTGTACAAAATACATATGCATCCAGAGAGAGAGAGAGAGGACGGACCGAGAGGTGAAGCACCGGGGTGACATTTCCAGAAGTTGGCATTGAAGGAGAAGACCTGACTTGGCCCTTAAGGAAAGAGAAATCTTCAGGGTGAATTTCTCCAGAATAAGGAATAGGAGAAATCGAGTTGTTGTCCTCCAAGTGCCTCTTTTCAGAAGTGTGGTGTAGAGGAGATGATGGAGCAACAGTCGAGGTTGTAGAAACAACAGGCCTAGTGACTTTGTCCTGCATGTGGGAAGAGTTGGGCCGAGGATCTGGATCCTTTTTTGTTCTCCTGCTCAAAGTCTGGGAAGCATCAACCCCATTAGATCCTGCAATTGAGGAAAATATCTCCGGATTCAGCCATGCAGCAGTAGAATTGGACACTCAGAATTTGGACTGGATTCAAATATTTGAATATTGCAGATATATGCACCATAATTTCAACAAGGTGTGACCACATGAGCATGTGTCCTAAACAACGGGAGATATAAAGAGAGGATTCTCCTCTGATGATGTCTTTCTCTTTTTGGGGCCAACAACAGTCATCTGTTAAGTAACTTCCTCTGGTACTAACACTCATTTCTTCACATTCATTTAATAATCATCAAAAGTGTTGTCGAATTCTGCTAACCAAATTAAGAAAGACAAAACAAACTGCTCTGCTATGGAAGGGAAAAAAGGACATGTTTCTTCTAGATTTCCTCCATTCGCAAGTCATTTATACTGAGAATAACCTGCTTCTTTCTTGTACCGCCTGGCCTCTGTGTGAGCTCCCTTTTGTGAGCAGGATTCACCACATTCATGGTAAGGATTTGATGCCTTAGGACAAGCACCATTCACCCTTCTCTCTCTCTGGACAATTTTGCTACGCTCCTCTCCAGCACCACGATAGTCTGAGCAGGTTTCAGAGAAAAGAAAAAATGATATGTGATTCAGACATAGACATATTCACCATGTGTGGTCAAAGTCCCATCAAAGTGGTTCAAGACAACATTAGCACCAGTTCAAAGTTCAAAATTATTTAACACGAGGATCAG